AGAAATAGAGTTAAAAGTTCAGCATTACAGTCATTCTAAAGCAGAGAAAGTGAGAAAATGATGAGTCCAAGGTAGGCTTCAACTTAGGTCCCCGCTGGGCCTCACCTTGAGGCTGGGAGTCCGCGCTGGCTTTCACCTCAAGGCTGGGAGTCCGCGCTGAGGTTCACCTCGAGGCTGGGAGTCCGCGCTGGGTTTCACCTCGAGGCTGGGAGTCCGTGCTGAGCTTCACCTCGAGGCTGGGAGTCCGCACTGGGCTTCACCTCGAGGCTGGGAGTCTGCGCTGGTCTTCACCTCGAGGCCAAGAGAGACGGGGCTGCCAATGAAACCTTGGTGAGGTGCTGCAATGCAGCGTGTAGATGACACAGACTGCTGCCATTGTACACCAGTGGTAGAGGAATGAATATTGAAGGTAGTGGATGGGGTGCCAGTCAAGTGGCTGGTCTCAAGCATCCTGAGGGCTGTTGGAGCTGTACCTAGCCAGGCAAGAGGACCATATTCCCTAACCCTCCTGATTTGGGCCTTGAAATCATGGGATATGCTTTGAAGAGTCAGGAGGTGAGTTACTCACTGCAAAATTGTCAGCCTCTGACCTGATTTTACAACCATTGTATTTATATGTCTGGTCCAGATCAGTTTCAGATCAATATTAACCTCGCCCATAACCCCATGATCTTAATAATGGGGAAATTCATCAGTGATAATGACGTTGAATGTCAGGGGTGGGGGTGAGTGGTGGTTAGATTCTCTCTTCCTGGAAATGGTCATTACTTGGATTGGATGTCCTATGGGTACTTCTTACTTCATACTTATCAGCCCAAGCCTAGATGTTGTCTACATCTTGATATATTTAGACACAGACTGTTTGAGTATCTGAGGAGTCATGAATGGTGCTGAATGTTGTGCAATCATCAGTGAACATCCCCATTTCTGATCTTATGGTGGGAGGAGGATCACTGATGAAACAATTGAAGATGTTTGGATTTCAGACCTTACCTTGCAAAACACTTGCCGTAATATCATGGGACTGAGATTGCCAACATCCATAACTGTCATTCTTTACACCAAATATGACTTTTCCAGTGTAGTTATGCCCCTATTTCCCATTGAATCCACTTTTGCTCAGACTCTTCGACGCTATGTCAAAGCTGTCACTCTTGCCTCACTTTGGAAATTTGGTTCTTTTGTCCATGTTTAAACTAAGGCTGTAATGAAATCAGGCTATGTTATGCTGGTGAAACTCAAACAGAACACCAGTGAGTCAATTATTGTCGTGTATATGCCTCTTGTTGGCACTGTGAATGACGCATTCCATCACTTGCTGATGATCAAGAGTAGGTAGATAGAGGGATAATTGTCCAGGTTGGAATTTCTCCTGCTTTTTGTGAACAGGACATTCTGTACGTGGGCAATTTTCTGTATTGCCGAGCAGAGGCCCTTTAGCTAGAGTGGAACAGCTTGTTCCGGAGCACAACTCTTCAATACTGTTGTAGGAATGTTGTCAAGATCCATAGCCTTTGCCATATCTTATGCCTCCAGTCATTTTGTGATTTCACAAGGAATGAATTGAATTGGCTGAAGACAGTCATCTGAGATGCTGGCAAGCTCAGGAGGGGGCTTGGATCTTTAGTTGGATTGGACCTTTAATTTCAAAATATGTGGTTGGCGCATCGAATGGATAAATAGCAGAATGACATTTGTTATATTAGGCTGGAATGACAACGCGTTGTCATACATCTTCTGCCCCCTTGTGAACCTGGATAGAGAAATAGCATATAAGTTACCGCACTATTTCACATTCATATTCAGACACTGAACATGTTGGTATGCTATAGGGCATTGCTTCTTTTAAAACGCTAACCAGACAGTTTAAAGTTACCAAATCTCCAGGATTGGCCTGAAGCCTCCATAGGTTGAACATTAATCTCCCGGAGTCTAGGAAAGCCAGGAAGAAAATCAAAAGACCATTAAAAAAAAATCGAAGCTGTGGAGAAAAGCCTGTGTGCTGATTGTCAATAATTTCCCGATAAGAGACTGTTCATTTTCCAACTGGCGGTGGAAGACTGTGCAACTTGAGAAGGACTTGTCAGGTGACCAATACCAGCAGCATGGGGGAGGGGATGGTTGAAGGCCTTGTAACAAAATCTCGCAGAAGATTCCCAACCATACCTGGTGACCCAAGATTTGTGTTATAGGTCATCTATAAATCAAGCATTACTGGACATGGTGCTTTAATTTTGCATCTTTTAGTTTCCATAATAAACATGATTGTACTTAATGTAGAAATAATTAACTTTTCATAGATCCCCTACAGTGTGGAAACAGGCCCTTTGGCCCAACAAATCTACACCAACCCTCAGAGCATCCCACCCAGACCCATCCCCCTATAACCCACACATCCCTCAACACTACAGGCAATTTAGCACAGCTAATCCACCTAGCCTGCACATCTTTGGACCATGGGAGGAAGCCAGAGTACCCAGAGGAAACCCACACAGACACAGGGAGAACATGCAAACTCCACATAGACAGTCAGCCAAGGGTGGTATTGAACCTGGGTCCCTGGTGCTGTGAGGCAGCAGTGCTAGCCACTGTGCCACTTTGCTACTGAGTTTCTGCTTTTCTAACTGACATAAATGGCTGAGAATTTTGTGTAGTTCTTTCTGAGTAAAATCATCTGTTACTTAGTGTTAATGGTTGCAATTACTTCAAAGTCTAGTTAATAAGATTTTAAATGAAACATCAGAAGGTTCCAAAAGATACGCCAGTCTTAGTTTTTCCCCACATTATAGTTGTACCCAGTGAGGGTTTTTCGACGAAAGATTATCATTTCTGGTAATACAAGTATTGATGGCTTGAAAAATAAGAATTCTTTTTGATAGCAGACTCCAAGTTGAAAAATAATCTCCCCATTGTTGAATAGTCCACTGGGAAGCAACAGGGGAAAATAAGGCACAGTTTCAATAAACTGTATTTTTACCTTTGGTTTTAAATAGAATACAATACTTCACACAGAATAAATTCAAGTAAATACCAAGAGACAAGTATAACCATTTTTATTTGAATTGTTCTGCTGACTCCGTTGAAAGTGCATTCACGTATCAAGTAGCACAGTTTTATCAACACCCTGCAAATTCTTTGTCCTGAAATCGAGCAGTTCCTAATTGGTTCCATTTCTTAGTGACAGATCATCACGACAGTAAATCAACAAAATCCATGCTTCTGTGCTGGCTACTTAAAGAACCTACATGGATTGTTCTCAAAGTTGAACTGAATGTATCTCCAGCAAATAATACTGCAGCTTGCATACAGAGTGGCACCTGCAATTTATACTATGATAAATTTTGGATATTGGCTATACTGAAATGAAAAGCTCGAATTAATCATCCAGAGATATGTTTGATAGAGCAAACATGATGAATAGGATATGTGACTACACTACTCTTAAAAATACTTTTCTGCTGCTCTCATGATTTCTGCAGCAAGTTACATAATCATTTTGAGTCTTTCCCTGCCAGATAGTCTTTGTCAACTAAACTTTGCAGATAGGAGCTTCCTCTGTTTACGTTGTCACCCCAGTCACTATTTCATTGATGTTACTTCACTTGCCTCTTGCTTTCATATTCACCTACTCCCTTGCTTCATCTCCACTCCCTTTCTCACCCACTTCTCTGTTTCTCCCCCTTTTCCGTTCCCAGCTTTCACTTCTTGTATCCTTCTTCCTCCTCTTCATGACCACTCATAACAGTCCAACTCCAATCTGCATGGTCTTAGGTTACTGTGGCCACTTGTTCACCAGTGTAGCTGCTTCCTCTGAATTCTAGCCCCATATTATATTTCTTTCTGTCTACTTTGATTTCTACAAGTGACTTAACATTGAATCCACCCACTATTACCCAGATCCCTGTTGCCTTCCTTTGTTTATTTCATGTCTTATGAAAAATCATTGATCACATTGGGTCTATACTCATTGGCGTTTAGAAGAAAGGGGTCATTTTATTTAAACATGTAAAGTTCTGATGGGGCTTGACAGGTTGGATGTTGAATTTCCTTTGCTGGAGAGCCTTGAACTAGGAGGCACAGCTTATAAATGAAGGACATCCTTAATGAGAGATTAGGAGGATTTACTTATATCATCAGGCTATTAATTTTTGGAATTCTTCTTCTCCAGAGAGCAGGGGGAGATATTGAATATTTTCAAGACTGACCTCAATAGATTTCTGATATACAAGTTCAACAAGCAAGTGGATGAGAGACGACAATCAGATCTGCCATGATCTTAATAAATGGAGGAGTGGGCTCGAGGGAGCCAATAGACTGATTCTAGTTTTTTTTTAAATGAACATAATTCTAAAAGGGAGAGGCTTGTTCTTGACCAAGTTCCCTGTTGCCCTCACAATGCTCATCTTTCCAGTAATTCAGAGAGCCAAATATTTAAGAACTAAAGGGTGCAGGGAATTGTTTAATTTATTAGACACAGATGATGTACTTCAGCAAGTTTTGAGTCAAGTTATGAGCATTATAGTAAAGAAGCAGTCATTAATGCCACCCTTTATAAACAAAGGCTTGAACAGAGTATATAGCTTTTTCTGTTGTGATTTCCAAATATAAGTGCATCCACAGTGAAACCAGCGCAGTCTAACAAGCTGTTATGTCCTTGAATTCTGTGCTTAACCTTTGTGTTTTCTAACAATTGCTCTCATAACGAAAGCTCTAGTAAACATAACACACACGTTGAAAATAAAATTGTGGATTTCAGCACAATGCACCACTGCAGAACGCTTCCAATCTTAGAAGGACACTGACAAGATTCCAGTGATAGATTGTTGGGGACAGTTATAATAAGACAATCATAACCCTATACTACCTAGCTGGGAAGAACCGCGCCCTCAACCACAATGTTATTTATGGGAGGCTAGGGGCTCAGGAGAGAACGTCAAGGGATTATCGATGTGTATAAATATTTATAAAATTCAATTTCTAACCTGAATAATGTGTTTCAGACAATATCTGGCCTTTCCCAGAAAAATTGTGCCCCATCTGGATTTACTTGGATGTTCTCTTTTCTACTGCATCCATCATGCATCTGTGCGCAATATCACTGGACCGTTACATTGGAATACGGAATCCTATTGAGCACAGTCGCTTCAACTCACGAACCAAAGCTATTATAAAACTAGCTGCTGTCTGGACCATTTCAATTTGTAAGTATTGCATCTGCTTCGAGCCCATATCATATAGAATAAGATGCATGACTGAATCATTTATTTGGTGACAACAATCCACCCCTTTGCACTCCATTAAACAGAGCTCTAGAAGACCATTCTGTGCAATCCTAAATGCTACCTTTTCCAATATTTTTGTTTTCACTACATACATGAGGCCAATTAATGAAGATGTTCCTTTGTGAAGCAACATTATAGATACACAGAAAATAGGAGTGGGCATAGGCCATTCAGCCCTTTAAGCTGAGTTCACTGTTCAATATGATCATGGCTGATTATTCACCTCAGTACCCTATTCCCACTTTCCACATATTCTCTGATCCCTTTAGTCCTGAGAACTATATGTAACTCCTCGAAAACGTTTAAAACTTTGACTTCAACCACTTTCTGTGGTAGAGAATTCCACAGGCTTACCATCCTGTGGGTGAAGAGATCTCTCTTCATCTCAGTTCTATATGGCCTACCTTTAAACTGTGACCTCTTCTGGACACCCCGGACATCAGGAACATCCTTCCTGCATTTGTGCTGTCTAGCTTTGTTGGAATTTTATAGGTTTCTGTGAGATACCCCCTCATTCTTGCTCAGACAAAGAGACTAGAACTGCACACAATACATCAGATGTAGTCCAGCAAGACCCTGTACAACTGCAGCAAGAGGTCCCTACCCTTGTACATGAATCCTCTCACTATGAAGGCCAACATGTCATTTGCCTTCTTTACCACCCGCTGCACATGCTCACTTTCAACAACTGGTGTACAAGGATACCCAGATCTCGTTGCACCTCCCCCTTTCCCAATCCATCATGCCTTACATAATAATCTGCCTTCCTATGTTTGCTACCAAAGTGGATGACCTCACATTTATCCACGTTATACATTGTCTGCTATGCATTTGCCCACATTCTCAACTTGTCTTCAACAACATATAAAGCATTTTCTTTCTTTAGTTTATCAATCAAAAACTCGGAAGACTAGGATTTATTCCTTTAGTGTGGAAATACATTTGGAAACACAGGGAGCTTGCCACAGATTTTCCATTTAGGAAATAATTATAACTCTAAAAATGTTTACATCAACAGTTTGTCATTAGCAGCAAACAATTGTTATTCTAGCACTTTACTGGAATGGAAGAGTACAACACCATTAAGATTAGCCAGTTAAAACTCAATGAGTAGGGGAAAGCCTGGTGTGTCTACATAGCTAGTAGTTTGCATGGAATATAAATGGATTCAAAACATCAATTTCTACAGAGATGTGATTTTAAGGAGGAAACCAGTTGCAAACAGTTAGTTTAGATTGTGATGTCGAACATGAGTGGTGAAACAAACAAAACAAGCTTAGCAACAACTTCTTGTTAAATGATTATTTTGATAGAAATAATGTACAAGGGATATTGAGAAAAACAGAAGATTGACCGTAGGCAATGATGTCCATTTGAAGAGCCATGCTGACACATTGGGCTAAGTGGCTTCCCCTTGTGCTGATACACTTCTGTGATTGTTGTCACAATAATGCATGACTTTTCTCCTATTGTTCCTGGTTTAATTAATTACGTTTATTTGAAGTATCTTACAATTTCATAATCTCTTTGAAACTGTTTCTTGCAGGCATTTCAATGCCAATCCCTGTCATCGGCATTCAAGACGAATCCAGAGTTTTCATTGACAAGAGCTGTGTTATTAATGATGAAAGTTTTGTCCTTGTGGGTTCATTTGTGGCATTCTTTATTCCACTGATTATAATGGTCTTCACGTATTGCCTGACTATCCAGGTACTGCAGAAACAGATCTGTGTATTTTTAGGAGACCAAAAACAGAAGCGAATAAGCTTGCATGTCTTTAAAAAGGACAACTTAGGGGAAAATGCTACAGTGATACAAAGATCAGAGACACCAAATGTAAGTCCAAAGCCACCGTTAAATAAGGAATCTCGGCTCTTCCGGAAAGGAACCATGCATTCGATCAATAATGAACAGAGGGCTTCCAAAGTTCTTGGAATTGTCTTCTTTTTGTTTGTTGTCATGTGGTGCCCATTCTTCATCACCAATGTCATGTCTGTTATCTGCAAAGATTCTTGCAATAAAGCCATCATTGGAGAGCTGCTCAACGTGTTTGTTTGGATTGGTTATACCTCATCTGGTGTCAATCCCTTAGTTTACACGCTCTTTAATGGAACCTACCGCCGAGCTTTTTCCCACTATATTCGTTGCCATTACAGTATTAGAAGAACCAGAAATCACTTCACAATCGTTGCTTCCACATCTGCAATATATGACAGAAATTTGGAAATGACCACCATGAACAATGGAAATAAAGCAGTGAGTAATGAACTGAGAGTCCCTGAAGAAAAACTACATGCAGCACTGGGATCGATGGAGTCTTCTATGGACAACTGCATCATTATCAGTGAAAAAGTTAGCTGTGTGTAATTTTGGGCCTATGATACCATTTGTATGTAGTGTGTGGCCTAAGATACTAGGCCATATGTTGCATGTAATGTGATGCCTACTTTCCTAGGTTTTTAACTGTGATGGACCTAGAATGCTAGGCCGCAAACACAATTAAACCACTGTAACAACTATAAATAGATATATATATGTCAGAAAATGATTATTGCCTGGTTGAAAGATTTGCAAGTGTTGGTTTTTATCTGGGGTGTATATCATGTCTACAATATAGAGATGTATTCTCTATTCATCTGGCATTCCTAACACCTGCTTGTTTCTTCAACATTGTGAAGAGGGGCAGACTACCTCTGCAGATTGGCTGAACTGTGTTGAATTTCTTCGTCGACCTAAGATTGCAAAATCCCATTTTAGAAATCTGAAACAAAAACGGGAAATACTGGAGATGCTCAGTACCTGTGGAGACAGAAATAGAGTTAATGCTCCAGGTCAATGACTTCTGTTCAGAATTGGGAACAGTTAGAGATATAACAGTTTTCAAGCAAGTACTGGAGCTGAGTCTGCATTTTACTGCTGCCTGAGTTCAAAAGAGAGCTCAGTGACTGTAGATCACAACCGTCATTCCCATTCTTCCAGACAGCAAATGCTGGGAATGACTTTCTTTTAGCCATTTTCTGCTGATATAGACCTACCTTTAGTTGCTTTATTGTCACATTACCCTTTTGTTGCCTTACAGCATCATCCCTTTTGTAATTTAATTTCTATCGTATCCTACCGCACACATCTATATTTCTTCCCCATGTCCCCTACTGTGCTTTTTCCGCCTCTGCACTTTTGTGCAGCCTGTTCGTTCTTGGATATGTTCCAGTTCTGAAGAGAAGCCATTGGCCTGAAAGCTTGATGGGGCTGCTTGGGAGCAAATTTCAGAAGTCATGCTGTGCTGGGTTGTCTCACTGATGTTGCCTCAGAGTAATCTTGCTGGATGCATGTTAAAACAGCATCGGTAATATACCCAGCTACAGCAGGCAGAGAGCTGAGGGAATAACTGATCTATTTAGCAGCTGCCTATTGATGGGGCTGAGATTTTGCCTGGCTCGCATGGCACCTCTGCTTGGTCTCCAGCTAGCCTAATCATAATGGAGTGAAACTGGAGTAGGAGGTCAGGCCAGCCTCACAGCAGGGTGGATTTTTTTTTTGAGGTTTTAAACTTTTAATACTCAAGCCATCTACCCACAAAGACTTGCAAATGGATTTCCTAACCTGCAGAGGAATGCGCTGGAGAAGGCAGGGCTGGAGGAGTTGCCTGTCAGTCACAGAATAAGAATCACGTCTCCATGTTGTGCTGTCTTCTTCCTCTCAAGGGAGATTAACAAGGCAATTTTCAGGACAGCACAGTGGCTCAGTGGTTAGCGCTGCAGCCTCACAGCACCAGGGACCTGGGTTTGATTGCAGTCTTGGACAACCGTCGGCGTGGAGTTTGCATAGTCTCCCCGTGTCTGCGTGGGTTTCCTCACACAGTCCAAGGATGTGCAGCTTAGGAGAATCGGGCATGCTAAATTGCCCCACATTATTCAGAGGTGTGCAGGCTAGGTGAGTTAATCATGGTAGAAACCCCATTCGGGTTTACAGGGATTGGGTAGGTCTGGTGGGATGCTCTTCAGACGTCAGTGCAGATCTGATGGGCTGAATGGCCTCTTTCTGCACTGCAGGGAATCTATGATTTAATGAACACATATAACATTAATAAAGGAGCTGCTTTCCACCCGCTGTCTCAGGCATTTTGGATGTCCACCCTGTACACCCCACTTAACTGTCCCTTATTGGGTGTCAAACAAAGTGGTGACCAATTTAGTTGGCCCTTGATTTACTGGAAGTTTCCTCAGGCAGGCAGCTTGCAGACATCAGTAGTACGTCACTCAGGACTTAACATCTCAAAGAGCATTAGATACCACCCTTTAACGCTGTTTCAAACTGCACAGATGCTGCTTGACATGTAGCGTATTTCTAGCATTTGCTCTTTCTTTTATGCAGTTAGGTACTTTAATTGACCAGTTGTCAGTTGGTATGAAGTCAATTGTTGTTTTTGTAATCCTGGACTGTCTCAAAAATGCTCTTTTCTATCCTTGTAACTACTGAAAAGCAAGATTTTGGGAGCGTATGACCTGTACTATTTAACTCTTGACATGCAGAATTATCCTGTTCTGAAGTAAGTCTTCCCCATCCAAGTTTTCTTTCCTCTCCTCTGGCAGGGTTTAGTATAAAGGATGAGGGGGACAGTCTCCAAAAGGCTCTTAATCAGATGCCTCTTGCAATCTTTACACAAGATTAAGGCTCATGGGATTAGGGACATGACAAATAAGGACAGAGAGAAGATTGGTTGCAGACAGAAAACAGAGAATAGTAAAAAATGGATGTCAGACTGTAACTAGTAGAGTGCCAGTGCCTGGCATTTATTTGAAATCTAATTGAAGTCTTATGTGAGGAACAATTGTAGCATTTTCAGGTTTACTGATAATACACACCAAGTGGTTGAGTAAGAAGGTAGCAGATTGAGTATGATGTGAGTAAGTGTAAAATTGTCCTTTTTTTATGTTATTGTAAGTCCATTATTACCTACAGCTACCTTGACAATATTTCCTCCCATCTAGCCCCCCATAAGGATACTCTTCCATTTCTCCAAGTTTCTCCAACCATGTTACATCCAGTCTGACGATGCAAGCCTCGACACCAGCACTTCTAATGTTTCTCCTTTTTCCTTTACTGAGGATTACCCCCAACTATTGCTGACAAGGCCTGCAAACCTTTTTCTTCAGTTTCACACATACCTGATATCACTCCTCCCCTCCCACCTAGGAGACATGATAGGCTGTTCCTGGTCCTCAGCAGCCCCTTAATTCAATGGTAGGGAAGCATGGGGCTCAGTGGTTAGCACTGCTGCCTCACAACACCAGGGACATGGGTTCAGTTCCACCCTTGGCCTGTGTGGAGTTTGCACATTCTCCTCATGTCTGCGTGGGTTTCCTCCGGGTACTCTGGTTTCCTCTCAGAGTCCAAAGATGTGTAGGCTAGATGGATTGGCCATGCTAAATTGCCCGTAGTGTTCAGGAATGTGTAGATTAGATGGGTTATAGGGGGATGGGTCTGGGTGGGATGCTCTGCGGGTCGGTGTGGACTTGTTGGGGCAAAGGGCCTATTTCCACGATGTAGGGATTCTATGATCTATAAGTGTTATAATCTGGCATGTGATACAACAGTGTTCTATGATCTATAAACATATCTACCCCGCCTTCTCCTTTCAATGTCTGTTTCTGTGTACCATCTTGATACACTCATCTGTCCCCTCCAAACTCTTTACATCTTTCCCATGGTCCCTTTCCATGCACTAGACATGCAAGACACGTCTTTTTACTTTCTCTCTTCTCATTGTCCGAAGACCATAAGACAATAAAACCATAAGATATAGGACCAGAATTAGGCCATTCAGCTCATCGACTCTGCTCTCCCATTCTCCTGCCTTCTCCCTGTAACCTTTGTTCCCCTTATTATTCAAAAACCCATCTATTTCTGTGTTAAAGACACTCAATGATTTGGCCTCCACAGCCCTCTGCAGCAATGAGTTCCACAGATCCACCGTCCTCTGGGTGAAGAAATTCCTCCTCATCTCAGTTCTAAAGATTGTCCCTTAACTTTGGGACTATGCCTTCACATCCCAGTCTGTCCTACTAGAGGAAACATCTTCTCCAACATCCACTCTCTGTCCAGTCCCTTCAGTCATCAGATCCCTCTTCATCCTTCTAAATTCCATCAAGTACAGACATAGAGGCTTTAACCACTCCTCATATGACAAGCCTTCATTCCTAGGATCATTCTTACAATCCTCCTCTGGACCCACTCCAAGGCCTTCCAAATACACCTTCCAATAGAAACAATGATTTATTGGTACTTCTTTCAATTCAATCTATTCTCACTGTTCACAATGCTGTCTCTTCTACACTGGGGAGACCAAATGACGTCTGGGTGAACACTCCTGTTCCGTCTGCAACTGTCACACCACCCACCCCCACCCCACCGACCAACCCAAGTCTCTGGTTTCTTGTCATTTTAGTTCTCCATCTTGCTCCAGTGCTGCCCTCTCTCCCCAGCCTTCTGTAATGTTCAAGTGAAGCTCAATTGAAACTTGAGCATCTCATCTTTTGATCAAGTACTTTACAGCTTTCCAGGCTCAATGTTGAGTTCAACACTTTCTTTACTTGTCTAATTAATACTTCTTTTGGCGCAGCATAACCAAATCATTTGTCATTTAATCCCTCACCATCACAGATCTTCACTTTTGTTCTTTTTCAATCTCTGGATTTTTTAAACATTTTTTAAACGTTTGCAATATTCACAGTATTTTGCTTTTCGTATGAAATTATCTAATTTGGTAGCTAAGGTGGAAAAACTGAACATCTTTAAAGAGTAAGACATTAGTATTCAAAGAAATTTGTAGTTCCTTGGATAGAAAAAAAGCTTTAACAGAGCTACAGCAAGCAATTAGGAAAACAAATGCTATACTTAATAAGATGTCGAAAAGCTGCTTTTTCCTGGCAGTCACAACTGGAGCTCTGGGTTATGGACTCCGGATAATGGGTGAAACATTTAGAATTGACATTAGGAGACTTTCTTTTCACTCAGACAATGGTGAATCTTTGGAAATCTCTAATACACAGGTCTATGGATGCTAAATATTTGAGTTTATTCAAGACTGATTTTGGGCAATAGGAAATCAATGGATTTGGGGATTGTGTGAGGAAACTGTAGTTGACATAGTAGATCGGCTATTAACTTATTGAATGCTGGAGCATGGTTGAGGGGCCATATGGCCTAATCTAGCTCCAATTTCTTTATAATCTTGGATTCTTGCATTTATTCTTCAGTACCTCTAACATCTCTCTGTTATGTGTGAGCCCTGTAGTGTGTGCTGGCATGTTTTTCACAATGGGTGCAAACCCAACCCTTGTTCTCACCCAAGATCTGAGCATGCT